CCCCCCCTCTTTGATGCTACCTGTTGTCGTCGTACACTTTGTTTTTTCCTCTGATAGAAGTTGGCAACCGTGTATTCACAGGATGGTTGCTGTTGCACGCATGGTTAGTCCGGACCGTACTACATTATCACTATTGTGGAGTCGTGTGTGCTCTTAAACTTAACGGCAGTAGCTGACAGCCAGAAAAAGTCGATTTTGGTATCCAAAACCGATTTTTCGATTTTGGACTATTTTAGTCGAGCAACATCGGCTTTATCGATTGGAAACATTTTCAAGTGTCTAAAACATCTATAAAGTGCTAATATATGCCATGTTTGTGAACATTTTATGGAAATAGACAAGTATGAATTCGTTGTTTTTTTCAGTTTTCTCAAAAGTATGATTTTCTTATGAGGGGTGGGTCACCTGTGCAGAGATATTTCTGAAAGTACATGTCACAGCTCAATCCCACTTTGCATGACTGTTTATAGATAGTATGTTTGCAACGTACTAAAAGATTATTGTGATATTTTAATAAATTTTCTGTCAGTGTAAAAAAGATTGACAGTATCACTCTGATTTGTGATCAAATTTTTGTCCGAGTATCGTATATGACACTAAAAAGGCAGTTACAAGAAAAGTATGAAACTTAAGAAAGTAAATCTTTAGTATTTTGCAGGTTGTATGTACAGAAATACTGTGTTAAAATATCAAGGCTGTATCAATTCAATCTTTTCCAGAATCCCTGGACAGAATTTGCGCAAATTTTGGTCTGTCAAACTCCTTGCATCTGAAGAATTCAGAAAATTGACAGTGAAATTATAGGGAGAGTGTGTTTCTGTTTCTAGACCCATATTGGTTATTGGGAAACCCAGTATACTTAATTTAGAGTCCAAACAAAAAATTTCACTTCAGCTGTACCTAGTGTCCACATAGCAAACTTTGCAGGAACTACTGAGTGTCCTGAGAACAATTAGTCCAATACAAAATGTATAAGCATTTCCGCCGGATCTGCAGTGAGCTGAATTGAGTAAAACTTTTCAGCAATTGAATCGTGGCAGCAGTATAGCCAGCAGGTAAGACTCGGTGTTATTTTTTTATTTTATTTATTGGTTGTTGTTTTGTTTTTTTGCCTTTCACTTTCAGCGAACAATGGTTAATAATATTCATACATTGTAGAAAGAGGTCTTCGTGATGGACGCCAAGCTGGAGACGTTTGTGGATCATGTTGGTGGTTGCGGCCTGTTCCAGGTGTGCTTGTCTACCTGTCTGATCCTCATCTGCTTCACCGGCGTCTGGGGGATGATGTTCATGACATTCGCTCTTTACAACCCGGGCTGGACATGTGCTGACCTTGATTCTGGTAAGTTTTTGATTTTATATACCAGGGATTTATTCTGTGCGTAGGAGAGAGTAATAAAGTTCTATATGCAATGTAGATGGGTAGACTTAGTGCATTTATCTATATTTAGAGATAGAGATAGATAGACGGAGAGAGAGAGAGAGAGAGAGAGAGAGAGAGAGAGAGAGAGAGAGAGAGAGAGAGAGAGAGAGAGAGAGAGAGAGAGAGAGAGAGAGAGAGAGAGAGAGAGAGAGAGAGAGAGAGAGAGAGAGAGAGAGAGAGAGGGGGGGGGGGTGAATCCCAGATTTTTAAATACTAAAATTGAGCAAGCGGGATAGGTTTTTCAATAGGCCTAGTGTTTTGTTCCTGTCATGTCATACATGTATTACCCGTACTACTTTTTTTTTCTCTCTGTGGGACGTAATCACAAATATATGTGAGGGAGCGTGGTGAAATCAGGCGCTCGTCAAAATAATAAAAGTGAAGAAACTCGCATTTTTCCGCAGGTTTGGGAATTTTTATCGAATTTTCGTCTTTTTGGCTCAACCCCATTTATGTCCATATAAAAGCACATTTCCATGTGATTTTTTTCTGAAAAACGTTGATTAAACGCACAAAATATGTCATTTATCTGTTCTCAAGGACTCTTTAGCTATTGGAATAACCAAATATGGCTGGCATTTTCTCGCTAATTTCACCACTGAAACCAGGTGACAACTTTCACTTGTAAATATTATCTTGACTTCTATTTAAGATAGGTGTGTATCTTTTCACTGAAAATCAGGCAAATACATAAGCTTTCAGATGATAACAATAACCCCACATGACCCAAAATTGACGAGTGCCTGATCCCAGCACGTCGTGACACATATTCGTCCTTCTATGCTTTTGATCTCACAATCATGAGAACCCTGAATTCGATCACCTGAATCTAGAGAAAATCGATAAGTAGTCCAGAACTGCCAAGTAAAGGGCCGTTGGCACAATGAGTAATGACACGAAGTAAACCACTCGGCAATAAGAAAAGACCATTTTGCTTAATGATTAATGACTATCTGGGCCCTTTAACGATCATGACCGGTGATCCAGAGCAGAGGACGTCCACTTTCATTGTCAAGCTTTCTGGAAATCATTGCGTTATGGAATGTCACCGACAGATCCAGAAATAGGCTTTCCTTGAAAAAAAAAAAGAAGAAAATAGTGTAACCTGCAGCCTGTGGTGTAAAAACATCAACAAAATTAATAACATGTATCTTGGAAATTAAAGTGAAGAAGAATTATAATATATAATATTACTCCCTCATCTCCATAGAGTCTTTTAAAGAACTCGGATAGCAAATAACAAAATCAAATCCCCAACATCTGACAATAACTGAAACAAAAATCATACAAACAACTCCACAACCTACCGAAACAACAAAATCAATCAGCAAAATTATTTTTTAAATTGTTAGTCATGGAGGTATTAAAAACGACTATTTCAGATACTGTGTTTTTTGTGGCAGATAAGATGTAGAATGCAGCAAAATGAGTCGGGCGAGCGTCTCAACAGGTCACATATTATATAGAGTCTAAATCCAACGACTCACATAAATCTGGAATTATTATTATGTGGTCCTATCCAATTTTGAAAAAAAATCACTGGGGTTCTTAAGAACACTTTTCAGAATATTTATTAGGCCTATTTATAATGTATAATTTATGCAGTGTTATAGGCCTACCGTCGTTAAGCACAAAGATAAAAAAGAACCTAAACTGATTGAGAATAATTTAAAGATGCTGTTATTGAATGCAGGCTTAGCCTACCGAGTGCCGAGCGGGGCAAAGGTAGCCGAGCTGAGTCTTAAGGGACCATTTACAAAATAATGACGTCAGCTAAAATTTGGCCCAAAATTATCCCCCCCCCCC